GAAACTTCCCGACGTGATTGCTACCAAGTGCCCGAAGTAAGGTGCCTTCAAGGTCTGTACAAACAGCTTTCTAGTTTCCTTTTCATCCAATGGTGGATGAACTTGCACAGATAAATCCCTCAATCTCTGTGCGTACTGTCGGAAACTCTCATTGTGTTTCTTCTCTAGGCTTTGTAACATGACCCGGTCTGGTCTCATATCATTGATGTGCTTATACTGCTCCAAGAAAGACTTGGCTAAGTCTTTCCACGTCTTGATATGAGTTCGGCTAAGCTGGTTGTACCATCGAATAGCTGAACCGGACAGGCTCTCCTGGAAATAATGGATCAGGAGTTGGTCGTTCCCGCCATATCCTGTCATCTTTCGACAGAACATAGCGATATGGGCTGAAGGGCAACTGTTCCCGTCGAACTTCTCAAACTCAGGAACTTTAAACTTTGGTGGAAGCACCAAGTCTGGAACTAGGCTCAGCTCCATTGCATCCACTCCATAATAATCATGGTATCCCTGGACCATCTTTATTTGATCTTCTAATATTTTTATCTTTTCTTCCATCTTTTTAGCTTTATCTTCCTCATCAAAGTCTGGGACATGATAATCATCCGGATGATCATCAGGGACGATTGTAGAAGTTTGCATCTTCGCAGCATGTGCAACTTTCGCTTTGGTAACGAATGAGTCCCCGGGTAGTGCGGCTTTCCCTTTAGTAGCAGATGCGTCCCCGGGTAATATTCTGGGTGAGATAACCACTTTCCTCCACGAATCGGCTGTTTCTTTGATCATCTTCTTATAGCTGTCGCCGTGATACTCAAACTCTGACCTAGCTAACCCGCATGTTGCTGGGACAAACTGACGTGCTCCATACTGTCTAAGTGCTAATAGCGGAGCATACCCGACTGCTCCCTAAAGTCCAAGTAAGGTCACAGTGTCAGAGTCACCACATCGGAAAAGAACGTCACTGAGAAATAGCCAGGGGGCTCTCCAGACAATATCCTGATCCTGAAGATGCGTAAAGACCTTCATCCATTTTTCTTTCGAAGCGCCTTCATGTCATTTCAAGGTGATGAATTCACCTAGAGGTGAATAGGTGGTGCTGAAACGGCGGTAGGCAACCCCGTTAGTCTTCCAGAAGTGGCTGTGAATCCAGACCTGAAGGAGCTGAATACACCCGGTAAATCTTCCTCCGCCAGTTCTTCGGCAATGGTTGAGCGATCGAAAGGTCTCGGCCAAGATGGCTGGTGCTGGGTTAACTCGTTTAGAAAGTTGCTCAAATAGTTCCACCACGGCAGCGTCAATGCACCCCAAAGCTTTCGGAAAGATAATCAAACCGTACAGACCCAGTGCAAAAAGGTATATAGTCTTCCACTCATCAGGGTGGTTTTTCATTAGTTGCTTTATGTAGATCCATTCAATTCCTTCTCCACTGCCTCTACGCTGAGTCCGATCGATTACCCATTTCTCATCTACTCCTGCAACTTTGGCCAGTGCATTCTTGAAGGGCTGGCTTTTGATGTGTTTAATGTAGGCTCGCTCAAGCTTGATGCTTTCACAATGCAGCAGTGTAGTGTATTCTTCGATGGTAGGCACCATGTCCTCTTGGTTAAAAGTGAAGCAACTATATCCCGGGTTCCAGAATTGGACCATGGCTCTGATTAAGGGCTCATCAGTTTTAACATGAAGCAAGAGTGCAATGTCACCGTACCGTTGGCTGAACTTCTGTCTCCGATCATTCTTCCAACTATCCCAGATATCTCGAAGCTCTTGTACATTGTTTTGTTTTAGGCTGATAGGGGTGTAGCGAACCAACTCTGACACATAGCTTCCTTGAAGACTGTCTCCCTTTTCACTTTGAGTCTTCTCGGACCATAGTCGTGCCTCAGCGTTTTCAATCTCTTGTATTACGACACCTTTGTCCATAAATTCAGATTATTTGAGTTTTAATAAACACTTTTTTAGGGATCAATGGCCTTTTGTTATGATGCAAATGCTAAAAACAAACACAAAGGCAAAAAGGTTAGTAAAATAGAAATAGATAAAAATAAATAAAAATAAATGGTAAATAAAAAAACATAAAAAATAAAAAGGTTAGGAAAGAAATGTCCTAGGTTTTGGAATGTGGTTTTGGGGTAGGCTCTATTTATTCAAAGCCTCCTGGTTTGGGTTCTAAAAACGGTACTCGAGTTCTCCTTGCTGGCGCCCCCTTGGACCGACCAGACCCTTAGTCCGAAACCCATCACAGGCTTGTGTGGACTAAGTTAAACTCGAGAGGACTCATTCCCTTATGCCCATACGGAGAATAAATTCACACGAAGGCATAAGGTATATGAATCCCGAAAGCTACTTGCTAGGCCCATACGGTGAATAAATTCACACGAAGGCGTCGCTTTCACCCCCACTTAAAACGGGTTCGGAGCTCGGGTATAGAGCCTTTGGATGAAAAATCTTTAAGGGCTGAAATCATTAAAAAACGGTCAGTACAACTATTTACTCGAAAATATAATCAAAAGTAAGTAATAAGGATCGAAATGTTACCTTAAAATTTAAACTTACCTTTTCATTAAAAAGACAACTGGAAATTACCTTAGCCTGACTCACTTACGTCCCCAGCGGAGTCGCCAAGCTGTCGCAACCGTCTTTCGGTTGGGCCCCGGAATTGGGCTTCGACTTGAAAAATGGGTTGGAGTCGCCACCGATCATTTATTTTAAAACAAATGGGTTGATCGGATACCCTATTTCTTACCTGATCTGCGTCTTACCAAAGATGTGTCGGATTCGGGAGTCGGTTACAACCAAGGAAGGGTTAGCACCCTTGAATTGCCCTTTCGGTACTGTGCAATTTCCAGTTGTCTTTAATTAAGAAACTTGAAAGTTAAATTAAAAGGTAAAATGACGATCCAAGTTGCTTACCTCTGATAGTTTTAATAGTGTAATCTTACAAAAAGTCTCGAAACGTATTAGAGAAGAAAACAAGAACGATTAATAAAAGGACGAAACGAAAATAAACAATAAATATAAAATTAGAGAAAAGAAATAAAGTAAAGACAAAATGAACAAAATAAATAAAATGAGAATAATAATGACATATATACACATAAATAAATATTAGAAAAACGAAGCAAATAAATAAAAACATATGCCTATAAATGAGGGGAAATAACAATACTAATAGTTATAGTAATATATATATGTATGAAGGTATAAATTTTTATACGTATATCCCTAATAATTTATAAACAAAACAAAGAAGGTAACGAAATAAGAATAAAAAAGTATATGTTTATATATAAAGTAATAATAAAAATAAATAAATATAATTATAATAAAAATAAATAGGAATAAATAATAAAAATAGCAAAATAATGGTAACATGACTGAATTGAAAGGAAACCATGATTGAAGGTCGAATTCAAGAGAAAATTGACTTTAAAATCGGATTTGGGATTTAAATTAGGACTTTAAGAACTACCGGGGACCAAGAATGTAGTTTACCCCATTTAAAACGAAAACATGCGGGTCCCTTGCAGGTATGGGTCGAGTCATGGATCAGGCGCGGGTCCTTTGTTATATTTCTTTGCTGTTCGAAAAGGTACAAGTGCTTCCTCTCCTCTGTATTTTTCTAGTACTCTAGTAAGATTTCTGTGGTAATCTTTTATGTATTGTGGATTTTTGCGTGTCCTCTTTTCCAATGGGTTCTGATTACATATATTTATAGGAATAAAAATCCTATTTTTAGGTATTTACAACCGAATAAAACTCTAATGCAATCTTGTTTGTGTTTGTTGGTGATGACCGAGACTCTAGCGCCGGATGGTTCGGTAGGTTGAAACGTGTTGGTTGGAGTCCCACACGTCCACGATCTTGGCTTGGTTTTGTTTTTGGGTGTTTCATGTGACCACGACGCCGAGAAAACTGGTGTTGTTGAGAGGCGTACGGCTGTGGGGGCTCTCGTTGAAGCTTGCGGCGCTGAGGATGAATCTGCTAGGGTTCTGGAAACCCTACACGTTTGGACTCACGCGTTTGGGTTGTGTACAGTTGGGCTTCGTGTAACAGGCCTGCAAATGTAACAGATTTGTGTGTACATACGTATGCACCATATGTAAAAAAATATATATATATAAATTATAATGTAAATATATTATATAATGTTAAAGGATAAAATTTGGTGTCTTCACTAATAATACATAAAATGATAATCTATAAAGAATTATTATTAGATTACATACACTATTAAGGAAACACAACCCATACTTTTTTTCTAAAAATTATATATATATTTTTAATTCAATTGATAATATATTTACAAATTTTAAATTTAAATACGTTTTAAAAATTAATTATTTTTATTATAAAATTTAAAATTATGAATGGAATATCTATATATAATTAAATAAATAAATAATTATTGTCCCCTGTTGGTACTGGGAGAATCTTTATGTCCTAGAGTGAAAGCATCATTTTGATGTCCTATTTTTACACGTACTAAGGTTAGATACTTGCCTTAAATGCTTTCCTCTAGTAATTTTAGTCCATAAATTAAATTAAATCAACTCGAATTCGAATCAATTTGATTTAATAATAAAGGACTAATAATATAAATTTATCAATATCGAATATATCGAATTTGAATTAACTCAAATCTATAAAATTTAAACTTAAAATGATTTGAACTCGAATCGAATCGAATCTAACATAATAATCTGAATAAATAATTGTAAATGACTCGAATTAGAAATGACACGAGTTTGAAGCAATAAGTAGGGAAAAGGATGTTGAAAGAAAAGTAAAAACGAAGACAGATAATTTAAGAATGGATGTTGAAGTTTCGTGTAAGAGCTGAGTCTCCCATTTGATCAGGAATAACCTATAAAAAAAAGTTCCAGAGGGAGAAGACATAGCTTCACTAAAACCCAAAACTCCAAACTCTCCCTCCAATTTGGTTTTTTTGGTTTCTCGAAGACAAGAGACAAAAAGCCTCATTGATTTCTTCGAGTCTTGTTGTTCATGATGTTGTACAGGAAAAACATGTTCGTGTTAATGTTATGGCTGTTGTCTTCTTCTTGGGTTTTTTCAGTTTCAGCCACTGTTTCTTATGACAGCAAAGCTATCACCATTAATGGCAGAAGAAGGATTCTTCTCTCTGGTTCTATTCATTATCCCAGAAGCACCCCAGAGGTATTTTCTTAAAAGCTTCACCCATTTTACCTCTTTAGCTTTCAAGATTCAACCTTTAACTCATCCATTTATGTATGTATGTATGTGCAGATGTGGCCTGATCTTATAGCAAAGGCTAAAGAAGGTGGATTGGATGTTATACAAACTTATGTTTTCTGGAATGGACATGAGCCTTCTCCTGGAAATGTAATACACTTTAAAGCACATCATTCATAACTTTTTGTTCTCTTTTTTCCTTTTCTGTATGAATTTTTGAAAATTTGGTTTCTTTTTGTTTTGCAGTATTACTTTCAGGACAGATATGATCTGGTTAGATTTGTTAAACTGGTTCAACAAGCTGGACTTTATGTTAATCTCCGGATTGGTCCTTATGTTTGTGCTGAATGGAACTATGGGTATTTAATGTTTTGTTTTTTTACCAATCACATCTTTGGTAAATTTCTGCAGATTTTGACTGATATGCTCTGTGTTCTTTTGTGGTTCAGGGGGTTTCCTGTGTGGTTAAAATATGTTCGTGGCATTGCTTTTAGGACAGACAATGGACCTTTCAAGGCTGCAATGCAGAAATTCACAACTAAGATTGTCAACATGATGAAAGCGGAGAGGCTGTTCCAGACTCAAGGAGGTCCAATCATTATGTCTCAGATTGAGAACGAATTCGGACCGGTTGAATGGGAAATCGGCGCTCCCGGTAAAGCCTACACCAAATGGGCCGCACAAATGGCGGTTGGACTCAAAACCGGAGTCCCGTGGATTATGTGCAAGCAAGATGATGCTCCAGACCCTGTGGTAAGATTTTCATGCCGTGTTGCTTTAAAGATTTTGTTGGTATGCCTTTTGGATTGGTGCTATGTGATCCTCCTTTCTTGGTGGGGTTTCCAACAGCGTTTTTGGTTGATTCCTATTCATTTACGACTTACTTAAAGTCGATGTTTCGACTCGTCCCGGGAATTCCGGAAACCTCATCTCTTTGTACTGTCACAGATAAACACCTGCAACGGATTCTACTGCGAGAACTTTACTCCCAATGCAAAATATAAGCCAAAGATGTGGACCGAAAACTGGACTGGTTGGTAAGTCACAACGTTTTTGCTTGTGTTGTCTATTGTTTCTGTTATGCAGTTTAAGTTCACTTAAAGAGTTCCGGGTTGTTCGAATGCTAGGTTTACTGGCTTCGGTAGTGCAGTTCCTACAAGACCTGTCGAAGACATAGCGTTTTCGGTTGCAAGATTCATACAGAACGGTGGTTCGTTTGTTAACTATTACATGGTATATTATGTTTTGGTATCTTTTCTTTTCCTTTCCTTTAAGTTCACTAGGTTTTGTGTTTTTTAACGTTTTCCATACCTTTTTGCGTCAGTACCACGGAGGAACCAACTTTGGCCGGACTGCCGGTGGTCCCTTCATTGCTACTAGCTATGATTATGACGCTCCTCTTGATGAATACGGTATGTAGTTATGGGCATTACAGATTCCAACTACTTAATTCGAGAGCACGCTGTCATACCGTTCGGCTTCATGAATGGTTGTTTTCGTCTTAAATCAGGGCTTAAAAGGGAACCAAAATGGGGACATCTAAGAGATTTGCATAAAGCAATCAAATCAAGTGAACCAGCTTTAGTTTCTGCAAATCCTACTGTGACATCTCTCGGACGTAACCAGGAAGTCAGTGTTTTTCTGTGAACTTAACTCCCCCGTTGTTTCGGTTCCAGAATTAACATTTCGCACAATCGATGATTGCAGGCTCATGTCTTCAGGTCGAGGTCTGCATGTTCTGCATTCCTTGCGAACTACGACACGAAATACTCTGTAAAAGTAATGTTCGGAAAAGTTCAATATGACTTACCGCGTTGGTCTATCAGCATCCTTCCTGACTGCAAAACTGCTGTTTTCAACACTGCCAGGGTAAGGAAAAAACTTTGTAACATGGAATTCAAGCTTTTGTTCTGTTTTTAAGTAGCTCTTTAATGAAAATGTCAACATTTGAACGCAACTGTTGCACAGGTTGGGCCCCCGAGATCTCAACCGGCAATGGTGCCGGTAAACAGTGCATTCTCATGGCAGTCATACAATGAACAAAGCCCCACTGCTGATGATCGAGATACATTTGTACATGATGGGCTCTGGGAACAAGTATATCTCACAGCAGATAAATCAGATTATTTGTGGTACATGACAGAGTGAGTAATCATACCTGAATACGTATTACCATATTTATGTACCTTCGATATCATATTCGATTTCCCTAAAATCTCTCGTTCGACCAGTGTACAAATCGGCCCTAACGACTTGAAGAATGGACAAGATCCTCTTCTCACCATTTGGTCAGCAGGCCATGCTTTGCATGTTTTCATCAATGGTCAACTAGCAGGTAGAGCTGAAAACCCCGGTCAATCGGAGATAATCAAAAGCTTTCAATGAACCTCATTATCAACTTTATTCTCAATTCAGGTACCGCATATGGTGGATTAGACAATCCAAAACTAACATTCAGCAAAAATGTCAAGCTAAAAACCGGGATTAACAAGATTTATTTATTAAGTGCTGCAGTCGGACTCCCGGTTAGTGCAATCAGTTTTCTGATGTTAGCTTCAATCTTTCTTGACTTCCAATGAAATAATGTCGAATTTCGTATGTTTCAGAATGTCGGCACTCATTTCGAGACATGGAATGCCGGTGTTCTAGGTCCGGTTACATTGAAGGGTCTAAATGAGGGGACAAGAGACATATCTAAGCAGAAATGGTCTTACAAGGTTTGTTTTATGAATTTTGAGAATCTGCACCTACAAGCATATCGATATACTAATAGACAATGTTGGCATGATGTTTTCAGATTGGTCTGAAAGGGGAAGGCTTAAACCTTCACACTGTTTCTGGAAGCTCTTCTGTTGAATGGGTTCAAGGAGCACAATTGGTGAAGAAACAACCTATGACTTGGTACAAGGTTAGGGAGTTTCCATGTTCGATTTTAACAGATACCATGTTCGGAAAAGATCGAATCAGATATCAATATTTATCATCTGTTGCTTTCCAGACAACTTTCAATGCACCGGGAGGCAATGAACCATTAGCTTTAGATATGAGTAGCATGGGAAAAGGGCAAGTATGGATAAATGGCCAGAGCATCGGACGCCACTGGCCCGGATATATAGCTAGTGGCAGTTGCGGTGGTTGTGATTATGCTGGAACTTACACTGACAAGAAATGTAGAACTGGCTGTGGGCAGCCTTCTCAAAGATGGTGAGAAACTATAATCGGTTTATGCTATTATCTGTTTTATTGGATTCAAATATTCATGGTAGGTTTTGTACTTACAGGTACCATGTTCCGCGTTCATGGGTTAAGCCGAGTGGAAATTTTTTGGTCGTGTTTGAAGAATGGGGTGGTGATCCATCTAGAATTGCTTTGGTTAAAAGAACTGCTTGAAGAAGCTCAGTTGAAACTACCTGCAACTGAAAACTAAAGAGAGAGATTTGTGGTAATGAAGTTCAAGCTGGTTCATATTCAGTACATACATACAGTCACAGCAAAGAAGATAAACAATAAAGTAAGAAGAGAGTGAAAGAACACAGTCTGTTCGAACAACAATAAACATTGGTCGTGAAATGGTCGAAAAAGAACGTTTTAACGTACATAGAGAGGCTACTATTTGTCTAATACAGCTTTATAAAGCATACTTAGAATCATTAGGATTACTCTAGCTTTTGCTGGAATCATATTATGCATGTCAAGTCTCTAGAGGCAAGCAATTTTATTGCTTCTCTTTGTAAAAGTAAATGTAAAAGTAATAAATCCAAGCATTTCAATAGTTTTTCTCATGATAAAAATTTACATGCCGAAAGAGGTTACCAGGTTGCTGTATAGATGCGACGCCGAAGAATACACGATCCAATCTATTGTCTGCAATTTACTTTTTACAACATTGAAGAACTCTCCCCTTGTAAACATTTACATCTTTATAAAAACCTATATTCATCACAAAGATAGTTTCTGATTCAAGTCATTGATGATATCATCTACGTCTTTCTGAACATGTAATATTTCTGGCCCTTGATGCCTCCATAGTTCCAATCTATTGCGTAGGTCCCTTAACGTCGAAACTCCTCCTTCGCCGATGTTAAGTTGGGTTAGTCTCTTGATGCACTTCATTAAATACTTCCCGGATTTTACTTTCACCTGGTAAATGAAATCTAACCCACTCTCTTCGTTCTTGAAAAAAGAAGCAGATATACTATCAACAGCATCTGTCAAACCAAAAACAGTACAAGAACCTGCTAAAACATCTTTGTCACCACATTTTTCAATCCAGGTAGTTAAGTCATCCCTTTCAGAGTTCTGTTTTACATGTCTTGGTCCGGCGAGCTTAGTTTCCCTTGGCCGAAGAATTTTCCCAGTTGCAGCATAGTGCAGTAGAAGTGCACATCCATCCTCTGTTATGCTACCGGGGGAACCAATCAATATGCCTAATAGGATTCTCCTTAAAAGAACATTTTGCTGTAAGCGAAGAACATTGAATGCATTTAAATCAGCAGATGCAGAACTGTCGATGGTTGTATTACTAGCATATCTAAGGTATATGGTTTCAAATTGGTCAAGCCAGATCTCAATCATATGACAATCATATTCTTTCTTCAGAGAAAAATCCTCCCTCTTGTTATGAACTTTTGGTTTCTTAAGTTTCTTCTTGAAGGTAGATTCTTTGCATTGCGTTGCTAAGTCGAACTGTTTCAGAGCCCAAGACTCGGATATTTTAGTCAAAAAATCAACTAACAAATCCTGATTAGATTTACTAGTGGGGCTCAAAATCCATCCAATATACCTTGCTGCAAACGTAGACAATAATTCCTTATCATGTACTTCTCGGACTTTAGGTGATAATGAGAATTTAATTTGAAAATTCTCTTGGGAACTTTTCCCAGAGAAGAGTAAAACAGAAGCAAAATAGAACCAATCTGGAAAGTCTATTGCCAAAGCCCTGCAAGACAAAGAATTCATCATAAATCTTTTCCAGTTAAGAATAGGGTAGGTAGTAACCACTTAGTGTTGGAGTTTACCAGAGAGATTTGTGATCTATGCTCCGAACTGCTGCTGGTGTCGGCTTGATTGGACGGAGTTGTTCCACACCAAGCGATTCGTGTAAACTTGTGGCATGAGTTAAATGTATAAAGTTCTCGACAGAGAAGGCTCCAACGAGAATCCTCAATAAGTGGTTCTGATTTGGGAAATATGCATCGGAAAATGGTAGCTTAGATCCCAATTCCACAGATAATCCCCACCATGTTGGTCTCGAAATTACATCCAAAATTGCTACCACTAACCCAACCAGAAGCTCTAGCACAAAAGCCAGACCCCTGTTATAAAACTAAATTAATGATGCGAAGATGTTTGTTAATTAAGTTGCACTAGATGAAAAAATACAAATAGTGATATAATGTATCTTACATGCCATCTATTAATCAAAGCATCTTGTCAATGGATGCAGCAAAACTTAAAACGAGTGCCTTGGAGTTGGCCATATATGAATAACATGTTTTCAATACAATACTCAACGTATCATGAATCATGACCATCACAAAGGCGGAAAGAAAGGCACACCAGATACAGTGACAAGAACCCGAAATATGTGAGAATATGAAATGGGAACTCACGTCCTGAGAAACCAGTTATGCAACAGAGCTCTCGTCTCAATAAACATAACAGGAGAAAGCACTGAGCATATTATGATAGCATGCCAATCCATTCTCCGATGAAATTCTTCGCTCAAGCAAAGGAAAGGCCTTTCTCTGGTATCTTGTAGAATCTTTGAAACATCTTGCTTTAGAGTTAGTGGGTCAAGATACCAGAAGAGCAACCTGCTCGAAGAATAAAACATACATCTTAAGAAAAATAACTTACCAAACTCAACTAAAATTGAAACATTTGAGCACTGATAACTTTAAGTGCCTTGGAGTAGTGAAACAAAACCGAACCAAATCTATTATGGAAAGTGGTGAATGCTAATCAAAATTCTATTAAAATATGTAAATCGAGCACCACTATACTTCTCACTCTCCCCCTTTTCCCTTTATGTTAAATTAACAACAGTTAACTGTAAACTAAGTTGTTAACTTCTATATAGCATAGTAGCAATATTTGTTCACAACAAACCTCAATGGTAGTTCTTCATTTTCAAGGGACAGTTCATCAGGCAAATGACAATGCAACTTGGAAACAGCAGCACTTCTTCCTTCAATTGATTTTGCAAGGAGAACCGGTGTATGCGGGAATAAATACCAACAGCAAGATGCCAAAACCAGTACCCTTACAACAGCTCGTAACAGCAAACGAGAAGATAGCCCTGTAAAATTAAAAGAAAAAAATGTCACATGTAATGAAATCCACCAAAATCATTGAACAAACAGGTGAAATATTTCAGTTCCAAATCTAAATAAGGCATAGCCAAAAACATATTATTCAAAAATGGTTTAACTTTACTAACTAAGATTCCTGAAAATTCAATTAACAACAGTGAAGCATAAAAAGGCAACCTTTTCCTTCTAACTTTGCTTGCACATTGTTAAACATTTCTACCAATTCCACGCAATGTAGACCCAAACTTGAGCTACCTATAAGCAGAAACTCTTCATTTTGAAGCCGAAAGACCTTGCAAGTAGCCGAAGAGGACAAGGTGCTGATGATCGTCCTCACCAAATACTCAACCATCGAATCAAAAACCTAAGCAAAATCGCAAATTTAAAACAAAAGGGTAATGTAAACGGAGCATTATCTCCTAAAAGAAACCGTAACAGTTAAAACTTTTGCATACGAATTTACCTGAGGAGCCTTGAAACACATGAGGGAGAGAGCGGAATTCAAAACCCTAAGCTCAGAATTAGGTTTTTCATTGAGGTTGAGAGATTGATTTAATTTCCAAATTGAGAGCTTGAGAGTTTCCTCTTCGTTTTCACGTTCGCTGATCGATAATTGGAGGTGAGAAGCGAGTTGAGCGAAGAGCTCGGTGATTGACGGCTGTGTCCCCATGATTTTCCGACAATAGACGGCTTACAGTGGCGGGATGTTGATGACGATGAATATAACGGCGGAGGATAATGGGATTTCCCGCCATAATTGAATTGGTTCTGGGCTTCCCGTAATTTTAAGTGGGCTACGGCAGGGAGACCCGATTTGGGCATCAGATTATTTATTAATGGGAAAATACAATATAGGTCATTAAACTATATTCAAATGACCGTTTCAACAACCTAACTTTAAAAAGTTATAAAAAATCAGTCAATTTTATTAAAATTTACAAGTTATGAATTTATTTATGTTCTTTTAAGAGTGACGATTATAAAGACATAAATTTTTATATATATACTACATATGTATCTATATATGAGGGATCATTTGCACTTCCATTAAATATGCAATGTGGTATAAGCTTAACTCCTGATTTGGCAACCACCAATAAATGAATGACACTTGTATGAAATTTGTCTATGACTTGTTAGAATTCAACAATGGAAGAAGTGAAGAACAACTAGAATTTGTTCAGCTCAGCTGTCTGGAAAACATGACAAGGCTGAAAAATGGTCATTGGTCGGTCAATACGGCTTTAATCCAAAAGTGATCATTTTGAGTAAAAATGAAAACTTGAGGGTTAAAGTGTTTAGAAAATGGATTAAAGTGACTATTCAAACAAATATTAAGGGTGGAATATAGTTTGCTTGCATAGCACTTCTTCTCTGCAATATTTGATGATTGTAAAGACTTTGTGTATTTAGGTGGTCAGTGGATGGTGATGCACAGTATCAGCAGGTGACTTTGGTAATGGCTCGGCCATTGTGTCGAAATCGGCACCACTCCATCTGACTGCGATGTAACCGTAAGGCCCCAAGAACAGTGGATCACTTCCCCATTTGGTCTTGAAAACCTTACAGATCTCACTTCATTTTCACTACCATTGCAGAATCCATTGGAACCATTCTCGCTTCTCAGACTTCATTTCCCTGTGGGGTTTCGACTGTAAACTCGAAACCATTGTCGATACAACGTTCATAATCTCTTCGTTGCGAAGTGTTTCGAGAACACTTGAATTGTTGTAAATAGGGGACAATGAAGCTGTCCTTATCGACCATTGGATCTTTTTGTGCCTTAACTAAGATTCGGAATGCTGAGACACCATTCGCAACTTGCAAGGAAGGGAACTCGAACTCGGAACGATGAAACACCATATAGCATCTGTCTAGTAAGAAGGCTGGGGAGGACTGAAGGGCATACCTGAATCTTCACCGGCCTCGAATCATCTACTTGTCGATGATGATGATGATTACCTTGTAGTTTCCATTCAATTTTGTCGACTTTGCAGCCTAATTGGAATACACCGGGAGGGAGAACTGATGCAAGATATTCGATTATGCTCAAGTAGCCTATAGAAACGGTGATTTCTTGGAACACACGGTACTCGCTTTCTGCTTCGAAATCTAGATCCAAAAGATCACCCGCTGAAGTCCTTTGTGTGTTCTCAAGCATCGAGGCCTTGTCGAAGAAAAGCATCGACACTTTTGTTGCCGAAGCCGGCATTTCTCGAACAACACCATCTAGCATCCGCTACGACACTTTCTCCGGTAACCTTCCCTTGAGCAAAATCTACCAGATTCTTGAAAATAGTCGATACGGGGTCAACGACAGAAGCGTTCAGGTCGAAACCGCCTTCTGCAATGGTCTTCGGCTCATTGGGGAACCCATCCCCATGGCTGGTCAGACTCCAATGCATTGATTTCTCTATCAATTTGAAAACTTTAATATTTTTTTTTCTTACATGATTCAATCTGCTGTCATAAAGACAGGGCTGTACTTTTGTTGTTGAAACTCTCCACCATCTTCTTCTGGTCACTTGGCCTTGATTCTCGGCAAATAAAACAAATGGTGGAATTTTGGTTTTAGTCCCTGTATTATAATTGCAATTACAACCAACATATTCAAATGGCTAAAATTAAAATTCGAGTGAAATCGATTGATTTTAATTTAAAATATTCGATCTGGGCTAATCAATTAACTGGTCAATAGTTATAAGAAAAAAAGTGTTAAAGAATATTAGAAGACGAATTCAGAAAGATTATGAAAATTCCTTATTATGAAACACACACAGCCCCAACTATACAACTTGTGGTGTGTGGATCATGAAACTCTTCATTCATACAAAAATGAATAATCCGCCTTATGCTCGTCGTGCAGCCGCGCAACGAAAGCTCCTCTGGTTTCGGATTAAGAATCTCACCGCACATTTTTTTATCCATCGAGAGTTTCCATGTTCATTTCCCAGTTCCGAAACCAGCACGACTCTTTCGAGGGCACGCCATCGGTTGCTATTCATGTACATGCATGGAAGAATGGGGTTTTAATGCGAACCTGTCCAGAACCTCATCATAACGCCATGTTCACTGATGCTGCCCCGAGATAATCTTTGCATCTTTTGCCAAAAACGACTCCCCCTCCCCGTTCTCAATGGACCCGAACTACCATGCCTCCTGAATGACTCGGATGACTGCCTCCCGAATCTTGTTGATGAACTGAAAAAATCCGAAACCGAAAGTCCTCTCTCGGTATCAAGACCCGATACATCATAGTTGTGAATGGAATAATGGCTTTGCAATGGTTCACTCAACTGTCCCGAGCCGGTACCGACTTTTCCATCCATGTCAATGGAGAAATCGTCACGACTGGAACCTCTTGAGCCTCCCACTTCTTTAGCCTCATCACATTCATTACATACTAATTTTAAAGCCTGCACAACCTCGCCCATAAAAGGTCGGTGTGATACCTCGGGTTGAACACACATTGAAGCAATCGCTGCTACCTTCGCCACACTATCGAAAGCTACATCAGAGCCTAGAGATGGATCGATAAGTGTTTCTAAGCCTTCTTTGGTTGCAAGAAGCGGACGAGCCCATGCAACTAAATTCTCCTGACCAGGCGGCTGTGTCATATCTACGGGTTTCCGTCCTGTCAGAAGCTCGAGAAGGACTACACCGTAGCTGTAAACATCACTTTTCACAAGAAGATGGCCGGTCATTGCATACTCAGGAGCCACATATCTGGACCAAGTTATTCATCACAAATAAACGTCAAATTACGAATAGAAATTAGCATATGCAACTGCAAGGATAACGATTATGGACATGTTCAACGTACATGCCTCACACATACAACAGGCCAAGCACACACAATAACATGGACCGGAAAAAACTAAATCCAATAGAGTACAGAGATTTTCATACCCGAACGTTCCCATGACACGTGTTGATATGTGCCTGCCTTCCTCATCCATGGCAGTTCGAGCCAAACCGAAGTCGGATACTTTTGGTGTGAAATCATGCTCCAACAAAATGTTGCTCGACTTGAAATCCCGATGTATGACACGAGGGCTTGAATCTTCATGGAGATAAGATAGTCCGCGAGCAGCACCAAGAGCTATCTTTATCCGGGAATCCCAGTCGAGTGGTGCGGATTCCTTGTCAACTCCTGAAAACAAATAAAACAGAAAAAAATATAACCATTTCCTGTAGAATGTAACGCTAGGAATGCTTAATATTAAAACCCAGGAATCAATCAATGGAAAGCACGCAGTTTAACTACCATGCAAGTGAGATTCGACACTGCCATTTGGAATGAGTTCGTAAACCAAACAGCGGTTGCGCTCCTCGGTGCAAATTCCAATCAACTTCACCAGGTTTCTGTGGTGAAGACGGCTAAGCATCTCTACCTCAGCCAAGAATTCCCTGCCACCTTGTTGATCATCTCTCTTCAGAACTTTGACAGCCACTTTAGTCCTGTCGTCAAGAACACCGCTGTAAACACGACCAAATCCACCTTCCCCGAGAATTCTTGAATCATCAAAATTGTCAGCAGCTCTTTCTATTTCACTTGCAGTAAAGGTCTTAGCGGATCCCGTATAGGGTGCAATGCTAGAACCAAATGAAAGTGATATGGAACTTAGACCACTTCCAACCATCGACCCAGCCGAACCTGAAAATTCAACAACATTTTCCTGATTTAATTGTGATATGGAACTAATAAGCCCAAATATTCAGCTAAATATGACCTGAAGGTTTGGCATGAGATGTTAACGGATGCCGTGGAGTTGTCACACGTTGACTAGCTTGATCCCTTTGTTTGAAAAGAAAAACCCATGCAAAGCCAGAACAAAGCACCACAACCACCAAAACGGACAGAACAATTATAGCAATCACACCCCACTAAGCACATTTTTTTGCCGCTTCCCGTGCACATCAACACCGAGGGGCTTTATAGCCCTTGCATTGTTGTCGTTACCCGGATATGGTCCGCTATCAATCATACCAGCATCAGGTGGCAAAGGTGGAGAAGGAGGCAAGCCTAGAAATCCACTGTTACTACGTATTTCAAGGAAAATATATGCCAAGAGTGAAAAACAAAAGGTAAATCCGAATAAACGAGCATGAACATACCAAGATAGCGCACATATAGTACTTCATAATCCCCGAATAATGAAGTTTTTACAGCAACTTGTTTATGCCAAAATCTGTTAAAAGTTATAAAGGCTGTTGTATTATCAAATATTTCACCAAGCGGTACCAAGTCAATAAGGACAATCGTCTTCTCTGGTTGCTCACTAGCAGCATTAGCACCCATGATGCGAACTTGACTTAATTTCATA